TCTTTCAACTTTTTGGTTTCAGAGCTTGGTTTCTTAGGCAAATAATCACAGTTGAAGTCCCCGTTTACAACAATTTCTTTTCCCTCAGCCGCGGCAGAGTCCAGGCTGTTGTAAACGCGAGCCAAATAATCTACGTCAGGCTGGCTGTCTGACTCTGAAGGTGGCCGATAAAATGTTCCAAACAGTATGCTTTTAGATTTAGGCAGAAAAATCTCAATCCAAACAGATTCATCAATTTCGAGGTCAGATCGGCGCACAGCATTAATTGACTCACTGACGAACACTGCTACACCGCCTCCTTTCCTCACCAATCTATCTCTTCTAAAAAGTGTAAAGCCAGGCAATGACACTTCTGCATCCGAAATGTTACTGTTGAGCCATGTCTCAGTTAAAGCTATGATGTGAATTCGTGGACTTTGCGTTATGAAAACACGAAGTTCATTTAACTTCTTCCTCAAGCTTCTGATGTTTTGATGGATGAACTTAAGACCACGCAACTTTAGGGTAGCATCAGATGTTGCTGGTACAACAAAGCTATCGTTTAGACTGTCATCGAACTGTTGCTCAGCAGAAGATGGAACTGAGCAGAAATGACAAGTCGAGCCAGATTCAAAGTTCGCATCCAGGCATTTTAAATGGAAGCGCGATTTGCATAAAACGCAAAATCCAAAAGCCTGATTTCTTCTGACCGTCTTGAGACACCGAGGACAGGTTATTTTAGTGGAAGGTCCAGGATTCACGGAGATATCATTGCACTGAAGCAGTAAACTTGCAAGAAGAACAGATCTTGTAAGCCTGACAAGCTGAACCTTGGCGACAGGAGTGAGGGAAAATCCAAAATGGCGCCCACTAGAAGTTTTCTTTCTCACGGGCTGCTCAAAACCGACGAAAGAAGAGAGCTCCTGTCCAACAGCCAACCCAGAGCTATTGACTTCTTGGTTAACCAACGGTGTAAGACATTTAGAATTAGAAAGATCCCTTGTAAACACGAAGACGAGTAGAAGAAGAACGCCGCTTCGCATCACACGACATACCGC